CTAAACAGTTAACTGAGGGTGAAATTGGTGCCAACCGCAGCATGAAATGTATGGAGATTTATCTTGGCAGACTGCAAACTCAGTTTCTGTTCCAAAGCATGATGAAAACCCTGAAAAAAGGCTCTTTCTTAGGTACAGAATGGGACCACTAACTCAGGGCAGAATTTGGGGAAACTCAAGTAAAAAACGTTACCGAGAAGGCAAAAGGATATGGAAGGCCACCATAAAAATTGTGTATATACACCCACTGCCCTTAGAAACAGTTAACACAAGAAACTCATTGGTTTTCATTTATAGCAGGGGTACTCTATCCCCAGCCCACAGGCCAGATCCAGCCACCAAGTGCTGTGTCATTCAGCCCATGGGCTGTGACCCTCCATACCACATTGGGCAGGCAGGGCAGCACAGGGCCCCCAGATCCTGACAGCAGTGGGGCAGGGGTTGTGAGGACCCTGGAACCTGACTCTGAGTGGGCAGGATTGAGAACTGAGGGGCCCCCTGCTGCCCCCACATGCTGGGATTAGAGCCCAGAGACTTGTGCTGCCCCTACCAAGCTCTGAATCCGCCCACCTGGAGGCAGCGTGGGGCCTGGGGCCCAATTCTCAAGTGCGGGGACAGCGCAGGGCCCAATACAGCCCATGGACTGGCCCCATGCTATTCATAAAGGAAGCCAACAGACAACTCTCTGACACCACCTACTACAAAGAACTACAAGAAGATCCTACTCCCCTTTTCACCATGAAACTCAAAAATACCATCAAACTACAAGAAAACCTACAGACCTTGATCCCCACCCCCATTACCCAACTCAGGGACTGTTTACATGCTTCCTAAAATGCACAAACAAGGGAACCCTGGCAGACCTATCATATCCAACCATGGAACCCTAACTGAGGAAATATCAGGTTTCGTCAAGTCAATCCTAAAACCACGTGTCACGCAAAGAGCAATTTTTGTCCACAACACTACAGACTTGCTATGGAAATTTAAAAACAGAGACCACCTTTCCAGCAACACCCTCCTAGTCCCCATGGATGTTACCAGCTTATATACCAACATCCCACACCAGGATGGCATCCAAGCCTGCCTTACATACCTACGAGAGCAAGGTGACAACTCAGAGTACAGACCCAAAGATATCTGGAACCAGCTTCCAAGTGAGGTGGTGCAGACTCCCACCCTGGGGGTTTTTAAGAGGAGGTTGGATGACCACCTTACTGGGGTCGTTTAACCCCAGTACTCTTTCCTGCCATGGCAGGGGGTCGGACTAGATGATCTGCTCAGGTCCCTTCCGACCCTAGAAACTATGAAACTATATTACTGACCTTATACATTTCATCCTCACACACAATTTCACTTTTAATAACCAACACGTCCTCCAGACCACGGGCACAGCTATGGGCACCAAAATGGCCCCACAGTATGCCAACCTTTTATGAGCCACCTGGAAAAAGAATTCCTCAAGGACTTCACCATCAAACCCTTGCTATACTTAAGATGTATCAATGACTTCTTCCTCATTTCGACTGAAACCTACAATCTCTGATTGAGTTCCATCAGTTCATTATCATCCCTCCATCTGACTATCTCTTGAATACTCCAGCATCAACATCTCCTTTTTAGACACTATGATCAGTATCTAGAATGATAAAATACAGACCACATTATACAAGAAACCCACAGATTGACATACATATCTGCACAGAACCAGCAGTTGCCCTAAACACACCAAGAAAGCTGTGATATACAGTCAAGCCCTCAGATACCACTGAATCTGCACTGAGGAGAACACCCAGGTTTGCCACCTCACTAATCTTAAAAAGGCTTTCACTCAACAAGGACACTCCTCCAGAGAGCTAGATCGCATATTTCAAAGAGCCACCCAGATACCACGTGAAGAATTGCTGCAGTACATAAGAACCCCGCCCCCCCAAAAATGCACACTGCTGATTATGACATATAGCCCCTCCCTCAAACCCATACAGAAAATCCTCAAACAATTGCAACCCATACTAGAAGGAGATCCTATTCTTAAAGAGATCTTCCCAGAAACACCCATCCTAGCCTTCAAACAAGCACCAAACCTTGCTAACCTCATCGCCAGAAGCAAATTTCCTCAGGCCCAGAACACACCAAAAGGATCCAGACCATGCCATGACAAGACATGAAAAACTTGCCAACACATCTCCACCACCCCCACAATTACTACGCCCCACAACAGAGCCATCAGCAATCCTGCATCCTACAGCTGCACCTCCAGATACGTAATATATCTCATCCAATGCACCAAATGACCCGAATGAAAACACGTAGGAGAGACCAAACAACAACTGAGCACCAGAATGAATGCACACTGGAAATCTATCAAAGACAGGAATACCCAATTACCTGTGGGGGCACATTTGTCACAAGAAAACCACTCTCTCTTCTCTCTCAAAGCCTGATAGCTCCAAATATTGTGGGGCCTTAAATTTAAAGAACAGTTCTTCCAGTTCTCAATTAATTTTTGAAAGAAATAATTTAGCATTATGACAGTGTCATCAATAAATTTTACACTGATGTTAATATAGTATGAATGCTCTAAATTAAGGAAATAGGTGTAAAACTCCTCATCCCATGGTTGCCTCATTTCTTAGTAAAGTAGAACAGAAAAATTATTAAACCAAGCATGAGGGGCATCAATTCAAGCCTTCCATCAGCTAAGTTTGCAAAGTTTGAGTTAATAAGTGTAGGATATAGGTTTTGAATCCTTTATATTCAAGCACAGAAAGAGAAGGAAGCTTAAACATATTATGAATGGATACATCAAATAATAAAAAGCATATTAAACACATTGGAGAATGAAACACAAGAAAAAAAACAGGTCATTCATGTCTCTGTCCAGTTTTATATGCCAATAACTCCAGAAAATTATATTGCAAGTGTGGCAAGGATACAAAGACTCTTAGAAGTTATGTTCACCAGACAAAACAAGTGTAAGAGCTGTGCCTCTGGAGTTCTGAAAAAAAATCTAACAATAACTAAAATGCTAGGGCAAGCTAATTTGTAGAAGTAACTATGAAATCAAGATTGATCCAAAGTATAACAACAAAGTAGGACGATCTCTTTCCAGTTTTCCTCTTTGTTCAGTATGTTTATTTGCAGAAATATTTCTTGTATTACCACACTTTTTCCTGACAGGCCTATGATTTTAATTTGCTCCAAACTGCATTTTTTACTGAGCCTCACTGTTTAATTTGAATATATAACTAAGGGGAACATATTAATCCAAGCTTACAGTGCATCTCATTTGTTCTTTAGACATGAATCATGGTACTGAATTGTTCATTGCATTTCTGACTACTTTTATTCTGTGCTGCTGGAAGCTTTGAAAATAAAAATTAAAGCAGAAACCCCCCCATAGACATTTTGCATATACATAACTCTGAATACAACTAATGGCTTATGTAATGCCACAAATGCAAAGAAATGTCAATGCCTATCAGGCCTGATCCAGTCCTGGAATAACTGTTTAAAGAACAACACCCTTTAACTTTTATGTAGATCATGGCAAACTTGGTACAATAGATCTAACTATGGCCAAACTTTAGCCTTTAGACAAAGCTTGTTGGCTGCTGTAACAGTGGGGGTGAGGGGGAAGGGCCCCTTGATTTCACATGCAAAATGACAATGTCAAAGCACTTTTTTTATTTAAAATTTTCCACCATTGTTGTATGAACAGAAGCTTGCTTCCACAGTAAGATTATGGCCCCCTCTATATGTTACAAGTACGGTGAAATTAACCAGTTAACTGCACAATTACCTCGAGAGGAGCTACACATGAAAAATATTTAACACGCCATAAAAAGCTCCAACCAACTATAAAGTTACACTTTGAAGATGTGTACTAACTTTAAAGCTGGTTGCTACTCAGTTTTAATTTGCATGTGCAGCAGGGTCTCCCCTGAGGCAGGGAGTCCCATCAGTTGATAGCTCCCAGCCACAGAAGTGCATCATGTCCAGCCCAGGCTGGGAGTGCCCCAACTAAGGGGACTCTCAGCCCCAGCAGCTGTGGATACAGGGTTCCAGCAATGTGCCTCCTGGCAGCATGCTTGCCAGTGCCAGACCCTCCGGGCTTAGAGATCACAGCTGTTGTGATCGTCCAGTCCCGAGTTTGCTTGGGGCACCCTGTGCAGCTGGGAGCCCCTCAGCTGAGAACTCCCAGCTGCAGGAGCTTGCTTGTTGCCAGTGCAGGGAGAGCCCAGTATCAGGCTCTCTCCACACTGGTGATTAGGCACGATGACATCTAATGCATGGCAGGAGGCATGATTGTGTGGATCTCGTAGTAGATCCCATTGTGCCTTTACCTAGATGTGTAGGAGGGGCCTACGTTTTCCTCCATGATGTGTACATTACTGGTGTGTTATTGCAGGACTGCCCAACTGTGCTGCTCTGCTGGCATAGAGAGATGTAAAAGGATAAGCCACCTTAAAACTCTTCCTTTAATCCATAAAGTGTGTGCATCCCTGTAGCCAGCAGAAGCCTCTCTTCAGGAGTCCCCTGAACTATGAGGATCTGTGCAGGAGGTCCTCTTCTGTGAGCAGGATTCAAGGCTTTACTTGGTACATATTGGCCCTTATTTAGGAAAGCATCCCTAGTTAGGAAAATACTTCATGCATCTAAGGCTAATTGACTTCTATTTTTAAGGTACTGACAATAGTACTTGAGCATACACTTAAGTTATTTTTAATTAATACATATATATATTATTATTGTATGTATTCCATACAGTTGCCCACTAAAAGGTATCACAAAAAATCATTCTCTTGGACATTTATTGGACCATCCTGGCTACAACATACCAACCCTACTATACATATGTTGTAAGGTAAGAACTAGATCACTGATAAAAGCAGGAATAAAAGTACATATGTTGATACTCATCTAGCTCATAAATATATAGTTCACATACCAATAAATCCCACAGAAGAGTGGGATTTAAAAAAAATCATTTTACTTACAACTTATGGTGATGCCAAGCTCCACGTTATGCTTCTTTGGTAGTTTTACATGAAAGGTCCCACTGCTTGGTATAACGGATTCTGTAATAAAAAAGTTGCCTAGTTGATAGGATACTCTACTTTCAAATATGTGGAGCTATAAACATATGCCAATGAAAATATATTAGTTACTCTTACATCACACCTACCCATTAATGCAAATGATGCAGGTGCAGTGTACTTTATATCTGTGATGATAATGTCACTGCATAAGTTAAGGGTCTGTAACTCCATTTTTTTGGAGGTTTAAAACTAAATTTATGCAGAATGCATGGGTATTCAGGCAACTGCGTTTACTTGTTATCAGCTTAGATATAAGTGGGTTTTTTTCTGTGCGCATTTAATACTAGCAAGTCATTTTAATAAAAAGTATATTAAAACAAAGTTCTTATCTTCAGGCAATGGGTGGTATAGGATGTATACATTTTAAATGTCCAGTCAGTTAACTTCAGTGGTTTTCACATCTAATAAAAAGTTAAGGGGTAAAGGCATAGGACACTAAGCAAAGGAACAGCACTAACTGAGTAAATGAATGTCTGAACTACATCTGAATCTCGATTTCTGGTATCTCTTGTACCCTGGATTTTGGCCTCTGACCAAAGACTATAAATTTCATTTTAAGTTGTAGTAGTGTAGAGATGTAAACACATGCCTGCAAGCAGCTGGAAGTCTGATCCTGCTGCAGAGAAGTCAATGGTAGTTTTGTGGCAGCAGTTTTGTCGCAAACATTCTAGGGAAAAACTGGTCTAAAGTTTGAAACTTTGAAACTTTTTTCTCTTGTAACCTGAAGCAGACTTAAAATTCACTGTCCTATTTTTTAACATTGCATTTTATACGCATAATAACGGATGGATAATATCCAATAATTTCACTTTTTAGATTTCAATGGCTATTGGCTCATGAAGTTGTCACTTAGAATTAGCAGGCTGGCAACACTTTGCTAGGATTTTGCACGTGGCCATTCATTTAAGTTTCATTTGTAGGTATGTGTACACCATGCAAAATCATAGCAGAGTTAACACCATACTAGCTTTTGAGGAGCTAATATAAGATAAGTGGAGTGTCTTAATGGTACAGCATATTTAGCTTAGGGTTGCATTGTGTATCTATAGAAGCTGACTAGTTTCTTCAAATGTGCTGTCTTCTGTTAGGACTCCATTTATTGCCATTACCTATGCATATAATATAGGCAAACCATGCCTTTCTACATCTAATGTACATGCTGCAATGCCTTATCAAAAAGTAGAAAGAGGTAGTTAGCCATGTTAGTCTGAAGTCAGGCAAAAGGCAGCGTAGAAGTGTACCTTATAAACTACATGAATCAGAGATGCATCAGCTTTCGTGAGCAACAGCTCACTTCATCAGATACATCTCTGATTCAGCTAGTCTGCAAGATACACTTCTACCTTGCCTTCTTATCAAAAGATCAAGGAAGGCAAAATGCACTGGTCACTTTAACTACAAATTAACTATGATTTTAACTGGTATTCTTTCTCATCTAAAGAGGCTTCAACCTGATGCGTCACACAAAGGAACCATTCAGAGTTCTCCATTCATCCGGTAATAGCACACATTTCTATACAGCAAAGCATGTTATTAGCAGAGTATTCTGCGTAGAAGGATTTGTCCTGGCTCAGCAGAACATCCCTATCTCTGGAGAGAAATATGCTTGGATACAACTCAGACAAAGGGACTGTCACCAGCTTTTTCTTCAGCACTTGTCATTACTATTTGTGTTCTGGAGCATGCTGGAGGGCAGAGTGCAATGAGAAAGCTGCACAAAAAGGCGCAAGTTTCAGAGGAGTTATTGGGCAAACAAAGGTCACAAATATGTGAAAATAAAGTTCCAGCCTAAAAGAATCCAAATGCACCTGGGATTCATTTCTAATACTGTCTTGCAAGATAAAACAATTGTACATTCATACCTGCAACATCAAACTCAATTTCCAAAGTGACCTTGTTGGTGATAGAAGAGTCTCTCAGAAGCTGATTAGCTTCTTCAAATGTGCTGTCTTCTGTTGGGACTCCATTTATAGCCATTACTCTGTCTCCTATTTGTAGAACCCCACACCTTGGTACACAATAGCACAAGTTATACATCAGAAGTTCAGGTAACCAGGAGTAAAATAAAATAAATCCAATCTAACATGGATTTATCACAATTCAATAGCCTATGTACGTTGTAGGTCTAGAAGCCAGCAGTTGGACTGACTACTAAGCTAATGTGGAGCTGTATGAAACTGCATTATTATGAACAACAAATATAAGCATGCAAGTACATTTTAAATATTCTAAAGATAAAATTAATAATTTAAGACCAGTACTTCCTAAGATTCTATCTGAACTACACTGCAGCAAAGACAGATGGGGTTCTCCCTATGGCACAAGAAATTTCTGCATGTCAGAGAATTTTTTATGGTGTGCCCTCTGTCCCCCCCCTTTAATTAACGTAGCCTCCAGTTTCACTTTGGAAGAATCTGCAAAGTAAAGGCACTGGTGCTTGTTATTCTTCTTATACCTGTTCAAGAATATAAAATTTTATTGTCAGAACAAAGAATTCATTATGTATCATATTTCCACTGAGCAATGCTGCGTAATTTATCAGAAAGCTCAAAGCGACCAATCCAAAGTAATCCCAGGAACACTTAGGAAAATATAGTTAGGAGCAATCATCTCAAAAAGTCTCACCTTTCTGCGGGGCTGTCAGACTCAATATATGAAATCAGAGGTGGAGAAGACAACGTCTCAGTGGCAAACACGCTACCCTGGAGCTGTATCCCAAACCCTACAATGGGGTCAGCTGTCAGCACTACTTCTGTAGTTTCTGTGTGGACAACCTGCCCAGCCAGACCAACAGTGCTAGAGGCTAAAGACACTACAAAATAGAGCAGACCAGAGGGAAAGACATTCAGACATAGGCAGTAAAAATGTAATTGTTTTCTGACATAATTCACCTACTATGCAATAAGCTCACTGAATTCCAGAGACTACCAGCCTCTTTCAAACTCTATTGAGGGCAAAGTTTATAAATGGTATTATGATAGATAACAGAATAGAAAACATCTGGTTTTACAATTTAATGTTATTCCCTTCAGCACAAAAAAAAGGAAGTTGTCTGAATAACTTTCTTAAATCCTGTTTGTAATAATTTATGATTGTGAAACAGGATAGACTTCTCAAAAGAACCTAAGGCCCCTGGCACATTATACTTAAGAAGTGATTAACCAGTTAATCGCATATAGAGTAGTTACCTGGCCACGTTAATGCAGTTAATGGGGTGTCAAAACAAGGAAGAGAGGAAAAGTTGGTTAACTGAGCTTATGTAATTCAAATAGTCAAACGTTAAGTTAATAAATAGTACAGCACTCACTACAGATAGTGAAGACATAACTCCTGTCTTAGCAGCATGCCTAGAGCATTTGCCTAGTGCTAATATATAATGCATTAGAGTGGGATTTTCAAAAGAGCCTCTTCTGAGAATTAGGCTGAAAGTCTGTGGGAGTTGGACATCTACATCCTGTATGTTCCTGGCAGATGGGCAATTAAAGGTACAATTACATATATTTTGTGTAATAACTTTGTGGCTAGTTCCTATCAAGACATTAATTGAACATGTGGCTAGGCTGGGGCTCCCAGCTGTGGGGGCACACCATGCACTCCCATGGCTGAGAGCCGTCAGCGATCTGAGCTCCCAGCTGCAGGAGCTTGCTACTTGCCAGTGCAGGAGGAGCCTAACACCAGATTTCCCCTGCATGGGCAATATAGTGTGATGGGATCCCACAATTGCACCTCCTGCCATGCATGTGTGGCATGGCAGGAAGCATTATTGTAGGGATTGCACATCAGATCCTATAACTGCACATCTGCCAGAGACATACAGGATGCAGATGTCCAGCTCCCACTGACTTTCAACCAAATTCTCATAAAAGGCTCTTTTGAAAATCCTACTCTAATGCATTATGTAATAGCACTAGGCAAATGCTCTAGGCATGCTGCTAAAAAAGAATTTATGTCTTCACTATCTGTCATGAGTACTATTTATTAACTTAACATTCAACTATTTGAAATACGTAAGATCAATTAACCAACTTTTCCTGAATTATAAACCAGTACATATACACATATTTAAGGCTCTATATGGTTTTTCAGAAAGGCTGACAATCTCATACAGAAATGCTCCTCCATGCTATTAAGATACCCATGTTAGTGATAGGTTTTTTTATGCTCTTTGTTTATACACAGCTCATCTGAACTTGCTGCACTGCAGCACAAGTCAAGAGAAAAATGACTGAGATTCGTCACAGATACTCAGAAAAGGAGCAGGCTGCACCTCGGGTACTTTGATCTCAACCTAATGAGTTCTTTTATCATTGTTTATATGCAGACATTAGAAGACACATCTTATACATAGGACAGAGACTAATTCTTTTGGTTTCTAGTCAAACCAGCAGAGCAATACTGTAGCAGTATTCCTAAGTCTTTCAACACTTATAGTTCTGAAGTGTTCTCCCTTTATAAATCTATGCTACTACCCTGCCCTCCTCTAAATTCCTTCAAGGCCCATTTCTTCTGGCACTGCCTACAATGAATTAAGTAAGGTTTCATGGCTTATCTGAGGGCAGTTTAAGAGCTTTGTAAGGTTTTAGGAAGTAAAACAAAACTGCTGCTTGTTTTTGCATTTTAGATATTGTTAGAGCAACAGTCCTCAAGTCTCAGTGGTTTCCCTTCTGAGTAGGGTGACCATATGGGACAATGGGGAATCTGGAACACTATCCCTGCTTCTGCTTCTGTTCCCCCTCACCCCTGCAGGCTGCAGGGAATCAATGGCTCATGTTTTTTCACTTCATAGGTATTAACCATCACCTGTGAAGTAACAATTAGTACTAATGGTCATTTCACTAATGAAGATAAATTATTTTAAGGCAATTTTGCTGTCTGCTAGGGCTTCCTATTTCACAGCTCCTGCCGCTCTGCCTCCATACCCCATGCTTGTGACACTTGTTTTCATTTTCACTGGCCAGCCAGGACCGGCCTCCAAAATCCGGGACTGTTCTAGCCGAACAGGGAGATACGGTCACCCTACTTCTGAGGGACTACGTAAACATTTCCTTCAGTTTAGGGTTTAAAATTTCAGACTTTTGCTTTGACTTTCAGGTTCATATGATTCTACAAACTTGGGTCTTGATTCAATACCCATGGTAGTCAACGGGAAGCTGTTCAGGGATTTAGCGCAGGCCCTCAACACTGTCTCTTCCTTTTTTTCTCTCATCTTCCACACACTTGATGAGGCACCACCCTAACAATGACATGTAGCTCTTACAAAATCAATGTTCAAAAAAATTAAATAAATAATAAAAAAGAACACCTATAATCTTATGGACTACCATGAGCCCTAATTACTGATTATTCTTATCATCTTCCCTTTCTTATGTTGCCACATCCCTTCCTTTTGTCATCTTCCTTTTTTGTGCATTGTCTAATCTTATTCTACAAAACATTTGGGCAAACCTAACAGGCTTGGAAGACAGCTTCTTCACTCACAGAAGGCACATAATTTCCAGGATGAAAAGCTTACAATTCTGCAAGTAAAGCACAAGAACACAATAACTAAGCTACAGCCTAACTAGTTAGGCTTCCCAGTTTGCCATTAAATATCAATATACTTTTCTCAACTTACTCTTCAGCTCTTAACTTGTCATAAAGTTTTGACAAAACCAATCTTAATGTGCTAAAATCACACTTGATTAATGTCAAGCTGGCTACACAGAAGTGCAGATCTTTTAGGAACTGACAAAATTCTGAATTCAGTTGTCTCCTATGATTTAACATGGACAGCTTTCCATCATTTTGGTGCAATGAATTGTGACACGACCTAGTTCCAAACATAGGGCTGGGGCAGAAATCAGGATCTTCAAGTTTAAATGTGAGACGAGAAAGAAGAAACTCAGTTTATATCCTGCCAGTCACTTTTTAGCTTCTTTGTTGGCTGATTTTACTTGTGACCTTTGTATCAGGGTATACTTCTGTGAAATAAGAAACTGACTGGGTCTACAGCTTCTTTCAATTTGTTCTTGATTTTATGCATATATGATTCCTGCTCTTTGCTGCTAACTGAACAAAGACAAATTTACACTAAGACTGTGGGCCTTGACAGAAATGACAGTTTGTCATGCAGTTGGGCCCCTGAAGGTGCTCTATAGCCATGTCCTGACAGAAGCGTATAGCTGCAGGGCACTTTAAAAATGCCTGATTGTGAGACAATCTGAACCCTCATTACATGAAACTGCTAATAAGCTAACTGCAGTCATGATCTCCAGTTTTCACATTTACTACAATAAAAATGCAAAATGGCCATTTACTGCTTTCAACACTTTTAGATTAAAAATACAGATACATTTAGAAACATGTTATCAAATGCCCCAACAACCTTCTAAAACAAGGGTGGGCAAAATAAGTTATAGTAAATGTTTGATTTTTTTTAGTATATGATTTGGTTTTCTTCCAGTTAAAAGATGGCAGCACCCTCCCTCCCAAAAGGAGTAATTCTGGGGCAAGTGGGGGGACTTCCGGTAGCAAAGGGCAGGGGGTGGGACCTCCAGTGCCAAGATTGCAACCGGGGGGGCGCAGCACCCATTAAGGGGTGAGGCTACACCAAAACTTGTGAAGTGGCCCTCCAGCTGAAATAATTGCCCGCCCCATTCTAGAAGTTTCTGGATCATAGCTTCCAACTTCACACAGCTTTGTTTCAACAAGCGCTTTTCCTAAACACTAAACCACAATTATTCTACTCATTGGCCACATCCCTGTTGCCCATACATGTCTCAATCCCTTCTTCAGCAGGCATCTAGGTAGCTCAATAACTTTCTCATCATTTCTGCAGATACCTAAGGAGAACATTAATGGTCCCACTATTTTTCTTTTAAGAACAGTTAAGTGCAGGCTTAATTTTTAAGAATAGTCACAGATGGCTTAACGTTAGCACTATTAACACTTTAACAATGTTGGTGCCTAGAAAGTAAATGTCGTTAACATTGAAGTAAAAGGAAAAAATCTAAATCAATCAATACATTTCCAAGGGGCGGGGGTGGGTGGAAGAAGGGGTGGCCCAATGCTGCCCTGAAAACTTACTTGTACAATTGTAAGATGCCAACCTCTGTAAACATCCACACAGCATTAAGGCTTTGGCATCTGTGGAAAAACTTCTAGACCCTGTATGTTTAAAAATGACAGCAATAGGGACCACACAAGTACCACATCCAGTTGCCTGAGTGACATCAAAAAGGCTCTGTAAATGGGGGAGGGGACAGTCTTTGCATGACAGCTCTGTCCCTTGAAAATTCAATGTCTATGTGTGGGTAGAAATAACTTCTGTATATGATAAAAGGGGAAGAAGGGTTAAGGCTATCAGACCTCCATCTTAAATGGCATCAAGGATAAATGGAGATAACAGGTTGGTTAGGGCCTTCAGAAACTGAGACAGTTTGGATAAACATCTGAATGTCTGGATGTTTCTTAGAACTGCGCTCCAAACCTCTGGATGTCCTCCTGGTCCTATAATTTGTCAGGAATATGACTGCAAGCAGTCAGAGCCTCTGTGTGAAAGAATACCCTTTAAGAAATAAGCCACAAAGAAGCAAACAAGCCTGCTTATTACTGGGCCTAGTTTACTGCATGCTTCTATACATACAGAGGACAATGAGACTGGCTGTTACAACAAATGCTCTCAATGTAAGTTATAAAAATGCTGAAGGCTGGTTTGCTATGTAGATATGCAATGTTGAGATTTGGGCAACACATTTCTTATTTTTATCCTCCTAAATGTCAAAGAAGCAGTATCAGAAGTATTTAAAGTGGATTAGGAGTATTATTTTATTA